GAGATCCTCTCGGCAGCGAGTGCTCTAACCAAAGAATAAAACTTTGCATCCCAAACAGAAAGAGAATGATCTAACGTTAAACAGATTTGGGCCTAAGGAGCCCTTCTTGCTTGGGCCTGGTCCCACTGAGTATCCAGAAGGTCCCAAGTAGGCCATGACCAACTCCCAACCAAGAAGAGTCCCACATGGACCTCCTTTCTGCCTCTAACAACTGAAAACGGATTTCAACTTCAGAAAGAACCTACAGTGTACATCTGTTCAGAGACAAAAAGGCAACGCATTGTAGAAAGATATGGCGTCCAAGCAAGATACCTCATCTCCTCATCCATCAGGTGAGAAAACAGGTTGCATACTCGTACTCACAATCAAGACCACAAAGGAGTAAGAAAAGAAACCCATAGTAACCCCAATGGGCAATCAATACCATGCACACACATACATGGGCATCCGTAGGTGCACACCACTCACCTGAGTGGCCTGAGCTTCGAGATGAGCAAACCTCACCCCCCTCTCATATGGTACTCCTGACCCCTTTAACGCAACCCCTTCACTAGTGTCCTATCTACGAGGAGGGTCTGACTCCAACACCAAAGTGCAACGCCGGATCCCCTGCCGATGTTGAAGATCAAAGTAGCCACTTGTAGTCCGTAGATGCAGAATGGCTACCTCCCTCAAGCTCGCCTACTTGAGGGAGGCCCTAAAGTCGCCAAGTGTCTCGCTTAGTTCAGATTCCAGGCGTGAGTGCCTCTCACTGTCGCCTCTCCCAAATTGTCGCACGAAGTCTTCTCAAAGTGTCTCGCCAATCCAAACTTACTCTCACACAACCTAGTTAGGTCAACTCCCGAACCAACACGACCTAACCAGGTGGGGGCAGCTTCCCTTAACCACGCTTCCCCACTTCCCTCAACTTCCAGCCCTAACCCTAAGTGGTAGCCCTCCACTTAGGTTAGGGTTGGAGAGGCAAGGTCAACTCTCGCCAGCACGTAGAATCCGCTTCAATACCAATGTTATGATCCTGGCCAATTTCGAAGTACACATTCATGAGAAAGTACAATGCCGTCCAATTGCAAAAAGAAATGAATGAACTTGAGAGGAGAGAGAGGGAAAGAAGAAGAAGATGAAAGAAAGAAAACGAAAATGAAAGAAAGAAGAAGAAGATGAAAGAAAGACGAAGAAGAAGATGTACATCAGCAAAGACCAATCAGAATTTCCTTCTTCTTCACCAACCACTCTCCTCCTCCTTATCTCCTCCCCACTTATTCAAACAAGAAATAGTCCAGATTCTTGTTGGTTTAGTGAGGGCGACCGTGCAAGTCACTGAATGAATTGCCCACTTTGGCGTAGTCAAGTGGGATGTTGCAGATGTCCGCAACGAGACGGACACGACTTATTTTATGCGTAATGTTGAATGGCTGAACCAGAATCAATGTCCGGATCCCTCTTCTACTGCAGGTATCACATGAGGTCCACCATAGCCATGGCCACCCTTCTTCCTCCTCCTTCCACGGCCGAGGCTATGGACTGCCATGGCACTGCCCTGCTGTGCAAAGGCCAACACAAAGCAGCTATGGCTGCTCTAGCTCAGGCCGCTATGCCTGAGTCTGCCTCGAAGCTTCTTGGTGTAGCTCTACCCCAACTGGGGCCTTCTAGATGCAGCGCACACCAAGGTGATGAAGATGGCATCCACCATAGCCAGGTAAGTACCTCTGCCACTCCTCCTTCCTAGTCCCGGTCTTCTTCCTCCTGCTGTCCTTGCTCCTCCCCAGCAGTGCTGCTCTTGATGCTAGCGCTGCTCCAGCCAGCGCTCCAACCAGTGTGTGGCCAAACTTGCACACCGACAATGAGGAGGAGCACTTCGCTCCTCCTGGAGATATAGCGGCCTGCTTGCCTCTTGGCAAGTGACTTCCTAGGCCGTGCGGCCTCCAAGCAACCGGTACCTCCTCCCATTTGAAGGGAAACATCATTGCAGACTCTGATAGTGCCCATACAGGCCCTAGACTCAGACTGGTTTAACTGGTACCCGCCTAGACCTAGCCTACAACTACTGGGCCTCTAAAAATGCCAACTTTGTCTTCTTCTGCGCTGCCTCGAGTACCCGGCACATCGACCTCTACCTGGTGTGGCATCGTCCTACCTGCTACTTTAGTGTTTTTCCGCTGCTTCAAGTGTCGCAGGCCTCCTTCCCCGCCACTTGGGTGTTTTCCCCACTGCAACCCTCAATGCCACGGCCAAGGTTAAGTACCGGCTCTTTGGGCCTTCCACACGGACAAGTACCCTGGCGGGTCACACACACACTAAAACCGACAAGCACTCAGACAGGGATGCAGACCAGCAAGCACGCACACACTCAGACTTAGAAAACTCAGCAACAAGCGGGAAAACTCAGCAAGGCATACATTCCATTGGCAAAACTCAGAAATCAGCTGTGTCTCAGTCCGTGTTTGGCAGGTCATTATAAAGAGACGCAATACATGGATGTTATTGTGTGTGTGTGTGTGTGTGTGTGTGTGTG